CCCTCCTCCCTCGTCGTCGTCTTCGTTGGCGACGTCGTCGTCGTCTTCGTCGTCGTCGTAGTCTTCGTCGTCGTCGACGTCGGCGTCGTCGTCGTCGTCGCCGTCACCGTTGCCGTCGTCGTCGTCGGCGTCGTTGACGTCGTCGTCGTCGGTGTCGTCGTTGTCGTCGTCGGCGTCGTCATCGTCGTCGTTGTCATCGTCGTCGTCGTCGTCGGCGTCGGCGTCGTCGTCGTCGGTGTCGTCGTCGTCGTCGCTGTCGGCGTCGTCGAGGTCGTTGGAGACGTCGTTGGTGTCTTCGTAGTTGTTGTCGGTAGCGTCGGCGTCGTCGTTGTCGGTGTCGTCGTCGGCGTCGCTGTCGTTGCGAAGTGCCATTTGGTACCCACCGTCACGGTCTTAAGAGATTTAGCAAACCAAGTTGCGGGTGGGTGGGTGGGATGATTGCGCGAGCAGTGGAGTTGACAACTTCAAATTCGGCAAATGAGTTGCACCACATAAACTGCACCACACATGTTGCACTTTATCAATTGCACAACATAAATGGCCCCACGTATGTTGCACAACACATATTGCATCACATAACACGAACTTTACTGCACCACGTATATTGCACCGGACAATTTGCTCCACAAGTACTGTGCAACACAAAGTGCCTGAAACACATTGTTTGGGTCCATGCTGGCTAACATTGCAGTGCATGCGATCTTCACTTAATGCGGATTTGGACAAAAGATCTGCCGCCAACTGGACCCAAACCCGGGTGTCCGATATCCCTGCGTCGAGCGGACCCGCGGGGATAGGGTTCGCAAAAAGTCGCATAAGATTTTTCTCGTCGCGCGCTCCCTCACTCGGAAGGCCCTGGCCACGGTCGATCGGCACCCCACCCGTTCTTTTCATAACACGAGATGCACACGGCGACGCACACACTTGACAATATACCCCCGCACCCCGTTTTATCACTGTCGGGGGCCAATACAGCATTTACAAGCACAAGCACAAGCACAACCACACACACAAGCACAAACACAAGCACAAACACACACAAACACAAACACAAACACAACCACAAACACAAACACAATCACACACGTGCGCACGCACGCACGCACGCACGCACACACGCAGACAAACGCACCGACATACAGACATACAGACAGTCTGACACACACAGACAGAGGCAGAGACAGAGACAGACAGAAACACTGACAGACAGACAGGCAGACAGGCAGACAGACAGACTGACGCACGCTCGCACGCACACACTTGTAAAGTCGGCGGCGCAGAGGATCCTCAGGCGCGAGCGGCAGATGGAAATGCGAATTGCGATCGCACGTTGTCGACGGAACAATGTACAAACCGTACGCGCTGTCAATGCAGCGAAGGGTGGTGTGAAAGGAAGAACTGCAAATCTAAACGAAATGTGCAGCGGCCAGAAAAGCGAGGAGGCAACTCACCTCGAAGCGCAAGCAGTTTGGTGCGAACTGGCGGCCGCTAGTTCACCGACACGACGGTGTTAGGCAGTGAAGCGCAGCTACCATTCCAGCATATTTGTGGGGTGCAGCGCCGAGCTCAGGGGTCCTGCGAAGCAAATTGGTAGCGTGCAGGCATACGGACCAACAGTCAGATGGAAACGACACGACCCCTAAACAAATATAACAACATATATTGGTGGAGTCGAGACACGCGACACATGTGGAAACACGTACATGCGGAACAGAAACCAAACTAATGAAGCTATACCGTAAAATCCTTGGCGGGTAGCCGCGCCACCAAGAGAGGCCAGTGTCAGTGACACGTCCGAGCTGGCCCAAAAGGCTGCAAGAACGCCGACCGATTGATAGGTGGAATACCGCTGCAGCAGTCAGACGCAGGCACACACATGTACACACGCACAAACACACACACACACACGCACACACACACACTCACACACACACACACGCGCGCACACCCACCCACCCACACACCCACACACCCATACACCCACACACACCCACACACCCACACACCCACACACCCACACACCCACACCCACACCCACACTCACACCACCCACACCCACACCACCCACACCCACACCACCCACACCCACACCACCCACACACACCCACACCACCCACACCCCACACACACCCACACCACCCCCACACCACACCCCCCCCACCCCCACCCCTACCCCCCCACCCACCCCCACCGACCGCCACCGCCACCGCTACCCCTTATCATCACTGCTCCATATTAATATACAACCCCTGCCCCACCCAGCCGGCGTCCAACCAGGAACCATGCCGACACCATGCCGACCCGCCCCCCAGCATCCCTGTCATAAAACAATACCGCATAGACCACCCTTCGGGTGATAAGGAGGTGAGGGGGGGGGAGGGACCAACGTCGCACTCGATTGATCTCACTATCGAACTCACTACCGATCTCACAATCGATCTCAATCGATAGATCTCACAATCGATCTGACTATCGATCTCACAATCAATCTCACAATCGATCCCACAATCGATCTCACATTCGGTCTCGCTATTGATCTCACAATCGATATCACAATCGATCTCGCATTCGATCTGACTATCGATCTCACTATCAAACTCACTATCGATCTCATTATCGATCTCACATTCGGTCTCACTATCGATCTCACTATCGATATCACAATCGATCTCACAATCGATCTCGCATTCGGCCTCACTATCGATCTCTCTATCGAACTCACTTTCGATCTCATTATCGATCTCACTATCGATCTCACTATCGATATCACAACCGAACTCACAATCGATCTCACATTCGGTCTCATCATCGATCTCACTATCGAAATCACTACCGATCTCATTACCGATAGTGATCTCACTACTAACTCAATCGATCGATCTCACAATCGATCTGACTATCGATCTCACAATATATTCCACAATCGATCTCACATTCGGTCTCATTATCGATCTCACTATCGATATCCCAATCGATCTCACAATCGATATCCCATTCGGTCTCACAATCGATCTCACTCTCGATCTCATTATCGATCTCACATTCGGTATCACAATCGATCTCACAATCGATCTCACAAACGATCTGACATTCGATCATCAAAACAAAACATCAACATCGTCATCATCATCACCATCATCATCATCATCATCAATATCATCACTATAATCGGGACACCGACGGGGCACCGGCGGGACACCGCGGGCCCCCGGTTGCCCGGAAGGGGGTCATTTGGTCCGGCCGCGCCTCAGCCACAGACACCGACGGGACACCGACGGGACACCGGCGGGACACCGCGGGCCCCCAGCGGCCCGGAAGGGAGTCATTTGGTCCGGCCGCGCCTCAGCCACAGGAGACACCAGCGGGACACCGGCGGGACACCGCGGGCCCCGGCCGCCCGGAAGGGAGACATTTGGTCCGGCCGCGCCTCAGCCACAGGAGACTTTCTCTCGCCCGCCCACGCAGCTTCGCCTCGCCCGCACGGCACGCACGAACACGAAACCGAAATCGATTTCCCGGTAGGGGGGCTCTCCGTTCCACTTCGATCTCACCCCCTCACCTCCGACAAAGCGCACTTTGCTCCGCACGTGGAGCATGCGCGGCCAACCCGACGCGGCCCCCCCACCATCTCTGTCAAAACACTGCGCAGTACAATTTGGGGAAACGTCTTGAGTCATGTTCGTGAGGCCCGCGAACACTGTGTATTGTTTTTGACAGGGACGGCGGGGGTGCCAGCATATTCCATGCCGTGCGCAGGGCTACATACCATTTCTGACCAAAAACAAACAATACAACATGCACCTCGCGGGTAAATCTGGATCAGGCGCGGCCATCCCGCGATCACTGTCAAATTGTTTTGACAGGGACCGCGGGGGTGGTGGCGCGTGGCCTGCTGTGCGCAGGCCCACCAGACAAAACGATGGGCATTGGTTTTCGCAAGGATGGCGGGGGCCGAAATGTTTCCCGATGTGTGCTGTCACGTGCGCAGGCGCACCTGGCGTACCCTGCACATGCCCCGAACATGGCGCACCTGGCGCGGCTGGAATGTGCGGCACACCTGGCGCACTCGGAGCACGTGGCGCATCTGGCGCACCAGGCGCGCCTGGCACGCTCGGGCCCCAGAGGTGCCTGGCGCGCGTGGCGCCTCTGGCACGCGTGGCGCACCTCGCCCAAGCGTCGCACACCTGGGGTCGGCTTTGGTTCCCAGTAGCTGTCCATCCAAAATCAGGCTCGGGTGTTAATTAAGTGTTGGGAAGGCGGGTGGGAGTGAGCTAGACGGCTTGCGGGCGGGTGGGTCGCTTGACCCCACCCCCACCCCCACCCCCACCCAGACACCCACAGCCACAGCCACAGCCGCAGCCACACCCAGAGCCACAGCCACATCCACACACACACACACCACACACACCACACACACACACACACCACACACACACACACCACACACACACACCACACACACACCACACACACACATTTTGTCGTCGCGGCCCCGCGAGACGGGGCGTAGAACACACACGCACACTGACACACAGACAGACACATTCTCACACAATCAGACATGCAGACAGACAGACCGACGCGCATACACACCCACACACACTTTTATACTTGACGCAATTGACCCAGACAAGCCCTGCGAACGTCGTGTGCGTGGTGGCGAACAGGGCGCACCTGGCGCGCCTGGCGCACATGGCGCGTCTGTGGCAAATGGCGCCTACTCTGGCTGTCATTGGACGGTGATCCTCGTCCGTGCTGGGTCTGAGATGCTGCTGATCTGTTGAAGTAGCGGAGTGGAGTGAGCGAGAGAGCTTGTGGCTTGCCTTTTGTGCGCTTGACCCCTCCCCCTACCCCTTCCCAGGGGTCACTGAGATTGGCACCACAGTGCTTCAACCTTGGACAGCATGTATCCAGACATGGGTCACGTGACAGCCCCCAATCGAATCACTAATTTTCTTGACTCGCATCTCACTGACCTTGGATTTGCATTCGGATAACGCCGATTAGTTTCATCGTGCGTGTGTTCCACATTGGTGTACAACTTCTTCACATGAACTCTCGTTCAACAAACCACCGTGTCACCAAGCGCGACCGGCCGCCAGCGGAATCAAATCCTCAACGCAACCCCGAAAGCACTGGCGACACGCGCACAATTTGCGCGATCGGCACGTCACGAACTACTCGAAAACGAAACCTGAGACTCGAAATTCGATGTCCCAGGCAAGGGAGCCTCGCCACACCCAGCATGACACCTCCTCCCTCACTCGAAGGAACAAGCGGGGAAATGAACTACGAGCTCGCGGCGGTCACACATCAAAGCAAACCGAACACTTAATCTGACCAGATTGCGCTTTAGTGGCCGTCTGGATTCACAAGCCAACGCAAAAAAGACTTGTACTCTATCAGCCCGTCGCCCTCGAGGTCCGCGAGCATCATCAGCTCGTCGCACTCGTGCTCCGTGAGAGGGTTTTCCCCTGCAGGCGCGGCGTTGAACGATCCCCTCGACATGCTAATCGATGGTGTGTAACGGGAAATGGCTGAGGACCAGGAGGGAGCATACGGATGAGGGGGGGGGCGGGAGGAACAGGAAAAGCATGGCGCAGAGAGATGGGGGTGAAGGACCAGCAGCAGGAGGGAGCAAACGAGAAGGAGCGGAGCACTTGCCTCTTCGAGCGCTCCACGGAAGAGCCACGAAGGGAGAGGAGCGGATTGAACGGGCAATGATGAGGGAAGAGGGCAAATTGGAAGGGCAGGCAGAGAGGAGATGGATGGGCATCAATCTGCTGGAACCTTCGCGGAGAGTGAAAGAGGGCGAACAGGCCCGCACTTTGTGTGCTTTTCGATCAGGGGGTCCAGAAGGAGTGCGTAAACTGGGGACCAGGCTGAGCGCGTCCCCTTTCCCCTCTCCCTCACTCTCCCTTCACTCTCCCTTCACTCCCCCCACCTCCCCACCAATTCCCCCACCACCTCCTCCGCCTTACTTCAGTCATCTCCTCTTACCTCTCCTCCTCCTCCTCCTGTTCATCCTCCTCCTCCTCCTCCTGTTCCTCCTCCTCCTCCTTTTCCTCCCCCTCCTCCCCCTCCTCCTTCTCCCCCCCCCCAAGCGTCTCCAAAAGTCTCTGCTGATCTCCGGAGGTGCCCGCTGGCCCGCGAGGGGGTCTTCCAAAGGCCTCCCTGGGGTCAGACGAGGGCCGGATACGTCCAAGAGGATCGGCCCTAGAGCCTCGACCATCAATTTGCGGCGAGCGAAGGGTGGAAGCGAGAAGAAGGCCTTCTCAGAAGGTTCGGAAGTCCCCCGGCCTTCTGAGAAGTTTTCTAAGCCTTCCCCGAAGACACAGAAAGCTGCTCAGAAGGCGCGAGGGCTTCTGAGAAGTCCCGCCGCCTTTTGAGAAGGCCTTCTCCTTCTCACTTCCCCCCCTCGCTTGCCGCCGAATCAACGGAACGAGGCTGGGGCTCAGGTCGCGCGACTCTCGTGCTCGTGCGACCGTGGAAACATTAGCATTTTGCCGTTCCCCGTCCAGTGCTCCTGATGGCACCAAGACGGCTGCACGACGGATCAAGTCTGGCCCAAGACGGCTGCAAGACTTCGCTAGACCGGCCCAACCAGGCCTGGACCCAACAGAAGCCCTAAGAGCCCCGCTCAGAGGCCCCAAGAGGTCACCGATAGGATAACAACATGCAAGACGACAAGAAGCCTCCCCTCCGCAACAAGAAACGCAACAACCGTGCAACATTATGACCACCTTTTTGTACAACGCCGTAACAATGCTTCCCTAACGGTGGTGACGATTTAACATTTTGTTGTGTGGCGGTTCACCAAACAGTCTTGTGGAGGAACCGTGTGGGGGAGATTCAGTCTTGGACCATCTTCGGCCACCCTGGGGTCATCACGGGGCCTGCTGGAGCTATCTTGGGGACATCTCAAGTCCCTCTCGAGGCCCTCTTGGGGAGTATTGGGGCCTGCCTCTCACTGGCCTCCGCTGTCAGGCCGCTCCTGGGCCTTTAAGTTCCTCTCGAGGCCCTCTTGGGGAGAATTGGGGCCCTCGCAGGGCTCTCAGCGGGAACCGATAAACCCATCGTAGCTGGTATAAGCAAAAACACCACGATTACAGGAAACACGATAGTGTTCCCATTATTAGGGCAATGTGGGACTTTGGGGTGACTCCGCGGGGGCTACCAGGCCCCCCCACGGGCTGCCTGGGGCCTCGGGATTGTCTTTGGCCATCTTGGGTCACCTTGGGGTCATCATGGGGCCTCTTTAATCTTGGGGCTTGCCTCCAGCTTCCGTCCGTTGTCGGACCCTCTTTGGGATCTCTTGCAGTCCCCGTGGGTCCCTCATGGGGCGTCTCAAGGCCATCTGGATGTTTGTTGAACCCTCTTGGAACCAAAACGGGAGCCGAGAAACCCATCGGAGCCCGCAAAAGCAAGACAACAAACATCCGACGACTCCTTGGGGTCTACGGCGCATGAAACTGCTGCCCTTCCCCAAACCCTTCCCCTGGGAGCTCCGTCCGGTCCGTTTGGAGTGTGTGCGCGCTTGTGGCCAAACGTGCTGGCGGCTTCGGCCGCCTTAGAGATGTTCCTGGAGTCCTGAACGATCTCGGATGACACCCAGTCGCCCTGAGGTGTCTTCAAGACAACCCGCGAGACCCCCAACACGCCACCCGAAGGCTCCAGGATGAACCTCCAGGAGGACCCCAACAAGCAACAATTGCCCCATTCCCAAAAAGGGAAACTGCCATGTGCTGCGGAGTGCCTTTGAGGCCCTGAAACCGACCTGAAATGAGTCAACAAACCTCGACAAAAAGGGTTCTACGACGGCCCCAGACCGCCCCGGGGCGTCCAAGAGACGCCCAAGAGGACCCCTACAAAGGCCCCCCAAAAACCCAAACTCTCCAACACTGCCCCAAAAAAGGCCCCCATACAACCCATCTGGCCCCAATGCATCCCAAAAAACCGGTTGAACGGCCCAGGAGGGCCCCGAGAAGGCCCCGAGAGGGCCCAACGAACCCCTTTGGAGGCTTCCGAAAGAATGCCCCTGGCATCCGTGAGAATTTGTAGTTCTCTGCGCTCTCGGGGCCTTGGGTGTCGGTCATCTGGGCGGCGTTGTCGGTGGATCAATAATTCACGATCGCAAATCAATAAGAGCACGGATCGTGGAAATGAGGAGGCGGAGGACGAGGATGAGGAGGAAGAAAAGGAGGAGGAGGAGGAGGCGGAGGAGGAGGAGGAGACGCCCAACGCGGGCAGGAACGTCTCCGTGCCTAGCTTCGGAAGTGCGGGGCGCGCGCCGCTGGCCGAGCCACCCAGGCTCGCGGAGTTAAGCCTCTGGCGGCCGAAGTAGCATGTGGTACTTTGCGGCGTCGTGGACGAGGCCATCGTTGCCACCGTGGACCGGGTGCTTCATGACGACACTGCGTGTCCTTCCAATCGTGACCTGCTTGAGGGTGAGCTGTGCCAGTTCCTGAAAATGAAGAGCCACATGGCAGCACCCCGTGGTAGCACTCTTGAACAGGTCGCATTTTGGCGTAGTCGATGGAAGAGAGAACTGCCTCCGCGATCAGCATCAAAAGGTACAGGCCGCAACTGGGCGGGATGTGAAGGGGAGTTTGGGCGCGGAGTCTAATTCTACCGCCGAACCAAAACACGAAACAACGGCGACAACCTCCTCGAGGTACTTCCGAAGTCGCGGGTTGAGGAAAATGCAAGGGTGCACCATTCCCCGAGGCTCTCGTGCTGCAAGCGGAGCGCGGTGCGCTCGCGTTTCGGCTCCAACAAGTCTCTGGACGACTGTTCCGACGACATCGCCTCTCTGAAATTCGTTTCGTGCCCCGTTGACAGAGGTCATCGCGCATGCCCGTGGCGAGTAACTGAAGCAGCTCGCAGTACTCGTCGCCAGGGTGCCGTTGAAGAGATGATCGAAGAAGGGCTGCCTCACCTGTGTCTTCGTGAAGGCGACGCACCACTCCACCTAATGCTGCTTTGTCCGAATAATCGTCGTGCTGGAGACAGCCAGGGCGAAATTGCTCGGATAACTTGACGACAATGTGCTTGAGATCTTCACAATCGCGGGAGGTGTGATCGGGGGGCGCTGGTACAGACAAAACAAACGAATGGATGCGATCGTCGCAGGATGGGACACCATCCCGCAGCTGGCGCAAGCTAGCTACCCCTTTGAACGTGTGTTGAACGACCTTCTTGTGCACGGGGTAGCTGTCAAGCAATTCCGCTAGGCTGGCGCTTGGGTCCTGTTGTCCAGTGTCCAGGTAGCTGGTCGCCAGAGGACATCTGCCTTCATGCTCGCCTTCGACCCGCAGGAGCAGGCGGTGCCTGATGAAGGATTTCTTTTACGTGCTCAGGGGCAGCAGCGACGGGGCCATCTCCTAATGCCCCCATGCACCGCAGGTCGCATGGAAGGCAATGGCCTCCTTGACAGACTCGGCGCGCTCATCGTGCTGATGATGCGGCGGCGCGCAGCAAAGGCGCCCGCGTGGCGGTCGGCCGCTCTGCCCCGCAACTCCCCCCCCCAATGCCCCCATGGCTGACGTGTGCCAATTGCGAAGCTGCGCGGCTCTAGCCCAGCCGCCTCGCAGACGCCCCAGGCCCTGAGCCATCGACAATCAGAAATCGAGGTGGGCAGGTCTGGCGCGACCATGAGGGTTTCCGAGGTACGGCCGACCCATGCGAACAATCATGAATGGGGCGCATCAGTCTATCCAGCCATCGATGACCAGCCACCACTCGTGGCCGGTCATGGAGAGCCATTCTCCGGACAGCATCTCCAAGTGATCGGCAACTCGCCAATCGCGAACAGCGCCGCGGCGAAGGATGCCCTCCGGGGGCGGGCTGCCCATCAACTTGCGGAGCGGGGGGGGCGCGTGAACTCCTGCAAGCGCTGTGCCGCTCTATCACCAAGTGGCGGGCTCCATTGAGACGTGCCCGTCGACGCAGCGCTGGTGGGTGGGTGGGGGGGTCGTCCGCTCCGCGGGCATTGACGCTGGCCGCGAGCGAGATCAACTGACGCGTCTCCTAGAAAAAGGTGGCGCGATTGGAGGGCTGACAAACGACAGCGGGGAGGCGCCGCGAGGATGCACGTTCGGGATGAGTAGGTGAGGTTCGCCACCCTCAGGAAAGATGGGCCCGAGGAGCTGCTCGGAGTGTTCGCAGACCTCGGCTCGTCGCCATCAGTCCGAAGAAGGCCATCAAATGAAACGCCCCCGGGAGCCCACTCGAACGAGAGACGTGCAGTCGGAAGCGGTCGGGTGCCATGGCTGCTGGAACGACCCTGCTCGCGATTCACCAACGTCCAGATTATGCTGTGCGTCGCGGCTTCGCTCGCGACGTCTCCGGCCCGCGTGCTCGATGTCGGCGTCAGTGGGAGATGGGGGGCGCTGGTCCTCGGGGGCAGCTTGAAGCGCGCCGTGGGAAGTATAGCTGCTGCTACCGTTGTCCAAGCCCAGTGCGTCGACGCGTG